TTTCGCAGCCGCAGAGTTTCCACCTCCAGCTCCTAGCGAGCTCCGCAGTGAGAGTGGGAGAGAAGTCCCAGTCGCCCCACCTGGGGGGGAGGTGTGACACGGGGGTGGGGGGCGGGACAGCCTGCGGCAGACAGCCCCCCTGAGCCAGCCGCCCGGGGCCAGTACGGGAGCCTCCCTGTTTGCAGTGTCACCTCGAACCCGTACACACGGGCAGTAACAGCCCTGGTGTTCCAGGCCGGCCGCTGCTGGTCAGGGCCAGGAAGCTCTCCCTCTGGTTTATCTCCCGGGATGTCCTACCCGGTCCCAGCGCACAGGGGGGGCTGCGGGGTTTCCCCCCGGGAACCGGTGCCCTGGCACAGGCCTCCCCGTCTTCCTCCCCCCATTCCGTCCTGAGCTGATCTGAGCGCCGGGGCCAAGGGCGGGGGGCCAAGGGCGGGGTGCCCCGAGGAGGCCAGTCTCTGATGTGCGGCGGCATCTAAGCTGGTGAACATCACACACGTTTTGTTCTCTCATCGAAGGGCATCGCCGGGATCGACGGCCCCCAGGGACCGAAGGGCAACATGGTACGTGTCCGTGTCCGTGTCCGTGGGTAGCGCACCCCGCGAACCGGGCCCGCAGACCCCTGCTGCGGCGGGTCTGGGATGGAGATCTCTTCCCGGGTCCGCTGAGGCCCTGAGCTGCCTGGGCGGCCGGACTGTCCACGGGGGGGCTAGGGGGGCGCTGGATGCGGGGCCATTTAACCTGTGATGCGAAACGGCTGTGACAGTCTCTGCCTGTTTCCCACGCAGGGTCCCCAGGGGGAGCCCGGGCCTCCGGGTCAGCAGGGGAACCCCGGGCCGCAGGTGAGTGAGGGGCAGCTCCTGAGACCATGGGGTGGGGTGGGCGGGTCTTTTCGGGCCGCAGAGTTTCCACCTCCAGCTCCGAGTGAGCTCCGCAGTGAGATGGGAGAGAAGTCCTTTCCCTTAAAAAGAAAAAAGAAAAAAGAGCGGAGGGGGAGGTGGGGCGACTGGGGGCGGGAAGGTGGTCAGAGGTGCAGGTGGCAGCCACAGGACAGTCACGGGGGGTCAGGGGCAGCCCAGGGGGCACCATGGACACACGGTGAGACGATGCTTGCGGCCAGGGGGGCACCTGGATAGCGGGGGGCACTGTAAAGGGTGTGCGATGGTCTGACCACCGCGCTGCCCACTGGGCTGAAGCAAGGTCATCCTCAATGTCAACGGCGACGGAACGAGTAAGTTAAAAGCAGAAACGCGGAGCAGACGTGCCGCGGCCTCTTCCTGGCAAGAGGAACGCGAGTCATGGGTGCTCTGGAGGCCCCCAGGCCAGCCGCACCCGCGGGAGCCCCGGCGCCCACAGAGGAGCTCTGAGCGTTCCGGAACTTTCCGGGGGCGCAGCGGACAGGTGCAGATGCCGCTGCCTCCCTGCCCGTGGAACAGAGGGCTGGCCGCGTACTGTTCCACCGCGTGAGCTCTTGCGACGTGACCTGACGCTCGGATGCGTTCTCTCCACACAGGGTCTCCCGGGCCCGCAGGGTCCCATCGGCCCTCCCGGGGAAAAAGTGAGTCTGGGGGTCTAGTGATGCCTGGGGGGCAGTTTGGGGGGTTTAGGGTCAACCCTCGGGGGGGTTATTGAAAAGATATCAGGGGCTCAGCCATAAGGAATTGATCTGGGGCTTAACCACGGAGGGTGCGTGTGTCCCCGAACTGACAGGAAATTTCTCAGGGTTTCCATTTGGGTAGTTTCCAAATGTGACATGCTCAGCTGATCAATTTCAGAACGGCACTGGTGTGCTCCAGTGTACTCGCTCGCTCGCTCTCTCTCTCTCTCTCTCTCTCTCTCTCTGATTCTCCCTTTCGTTCTCATTATTTAAAGAAGTGTAATTAGGTTTGGTTGTGACAAAGGGTTTGTGGCAAGATCTGATTAAGGGAAAATGGTGAAGTTATCATTGCCACCATTTCTTATATACAAATGACAAATGATCTTGTTAATAACCCAATGCCTGCATCAAAACAAGAATGAATCTTTAATTAAAGTGATGTCTTCTCCTTCTGATCGTCTCTGCTAGATTTCCCAAGTGCTGCTTTCTGTCCCTTGTAGTCACAGCAGTGTCAGCTGCTCTTTCTAATGCCTCCCCCCCCTTATATATAGTTTTAATTTCTATGAACATGTAATTTAAAAATAGCTTTAATGGGAGTATAATTTCATACTATAAAAATGCATTCATTTTAAGTCTACAGTCAATGATTTTTAGTAAATTTACAGTTATGACACAATCAACTTTTAAGTTGGTTTGAGAGAGAGGAAGGGAGGTAGATAGATAGATAGATAGATAGATAGATAGATAGATAGATAGGAACATTGATTTGTTGTTCCACTCATTGATGCGCTCATTGGTTGATTCTTATATGTGCCCTGATCAGGGATGGAACCCACAACCATAGTGTATGGAGACGACACTCTAACCAACGGAGCTACCCGCCAGGGCTAGTACAAGAGTTCGAATATTTGTAGTGTTCCCTTAAATATGTAGCAACACAAAGCATTCGTGCAGTAATGCCCACAGGGTCCTTGCCATACATAGAAGTATTACATCTGTAATAATTAATGGAATAGTCTGCACTAGACGTCTACATTTTGTTCTTAAGAAAGAAGACCATTGTCTTGATAGCAAAAGATAATTTCAGTATCAGTCAAAATACTTTCATTGAAAATATAGTGTTTTATAATAGTTCTTACATAATGTTCAATTACTCAGCTAAAAGTGACTTTGCACATTAGTGAAGGGGATTGAAAGTTTCAAAAGAGATGTTATTAACCTTTAGTTATAAAACAAATTTTTCAAGTTGAATGTTATCTTTCATCTTTCGTTGTTTTGTAGAGATTTAAGTCAGGTCTTGTAAAACTCTTCACTATCAGTCCACATCAAGCATGTCAAACTCACGGGCCTCGGGGCTACATGCCTTATTTACTTGGCCTGTGTTAGCCTTTGAGTTTGACATGCTTGGTCTACACGAATACCATGGCTTTCCTAAGCACTGCAAACGGAAACACCTCAGCTGTGTCCACCACCCAGCATTACTGCTATATCCTTGTTCTTTTAAAAAAATACCTTTTTATTGATTTCAGAGAGGAAGGAAGAGGGAGAGAGAGATGGAAACATCAATGATGAGACAGAATCATTGACCAGCTGCCTCCTGTCAATAAAGATAAATTTTTTAAAAAAGTAAAAATTAAATAAAGAGATACATTTAGGATCAGTAAGCAGGCCCGAAATTAGCATGTTTCTTTTTACATCTGCTGAGTTTGGTTTAAATTATCTCTATGTACCATTTCTTCTACATCATATGTTCAAAAGTATTTAAGTGTGTGTGGCTTATGTATAAAAACCAGTGACTCAAGAATTTTATCAGTAGTAGATTCCTATGTACAAAGTCAGCCTTTTCCTCATTTTCACTTTTGAAACTAACACGTTCTCTTTCTGTTTGGTTAGGGACCTCAAGGCAAACCTGGGCTCGCGGGCCTCCCGGGTGCTGACGGGCCTCCTGTGAGTAACGGTTCCCTGCTCCCCACACCCCTGTTCTCTTCACAGACAGCTTCCCGTGTGCCTGACGGGGTTCATGAGTTCAGGAATACAAGCAACCTGAGGCAGGAATTAAACGTGGAGCTCCAATAACTTCACCGTGTCACTCCCCATGGCAAACATTTTAACTGGTTTGCCGGGTCTTTGGAGAAACTGGTGACCCAGCTCAGTCTCACATGGCTCACCACGCCCTTTCTGCCCCCAGCTCTGAGCCTTGCCACGGTCACGCCTTTCTTCACGGCGTCCTTTACTTTCCACAGAAAGCACCTGCATTCTCTCTTCCTTTTCACAGGAGTCCAGGTGGGCTTCCTCACCATTCCTTAATTTCCAGGGATGCTCTCCTTTTCTAAAAAAAATTGCAATGTTTATTGCATAGCAATCAGTAATGTAATTCTGTAATCTCTACAGTTGTTATTCTTAAGAATGGGTTATGGATGCTTCTTTTTTCCTCTTCAAACCTCTTTTTTTAAATTAAATGTATTGGGAGACATTGGTTAATAGGATCATATAGGCTCAGGTGTGGGTCTCTATGATACAGGGTCTGTACATTGCCCTGTGTGCCCACCACCCAAAGTCAGATGTTCTTCCGTCTCTGTATATTACAGCTTCTCACTCAGAGCTATGGTACATTTTTCTTTCCGCCTCTACTTGTGTTTATTGATTATAATGGTGATGGAGCTGCACGTTTTCATTTATTAATTTTCAATAACTTGGTTATTGACACTATTAGTATTATTTATGAGCTTGCTGCATTTTCAAGGTCCCACCCACATGCCTTAGTTCCCTTTTGAAGATGCATGTCTGATTAATTGATCAATATGCAAAATAGAAGTCAGATTGAAATCTCATTATGTAAGACGAATTGACACTGAGGTTGAATTACTGACGAATAATAATATGTATCATCTTGTGTGTTTTTCCCAAGCTCTCTCAAATATCTTATGTAGCTGAAAAAAACTTGCATTCATCCAAATGCCACAGTTTTCAATGTTATTTAAGGCCATGCATACGGATGCAAAATGTTCCATTTGTTTTGAAACATAACAAGTAATATCTCAATATTTTGAAAATAAAATGTAACAGTACTGCCTCTCCTTTTGCATCTTACCAGTGTATCTTCTTGCTAAATAGGGTCACCCTGGGAAGGAAGGCCAGTCCGGAGATAAGGGTGCTCTGGTACGTTACACAGCCCCCTGGAAACGCCCTCCCCTCTCCTCCAGAGAACATGCCTGCGCTCGTCATCTCTGCGAAGCACATGTGATGCATATGTGATGCATGATTGCTTAGGGACATGACTGTTGGAAATAAGGACCAGAGACTAATTCATCTCCACCTGTAAACATGTCTTCATTTCCAAAAGAATGTTTGCTACCGTTTAAATGTGGCATGTTCCTAGAATTGTTTTTGTTTAGGATATAATAACCAGGTACATATTAGGTAACTTTTAGTGTTGTATTAGCCCATTTGTTAGACTGCATTTTCTGTTTTTTAAAATTGTTCTCATGGTCAGAAATAAATCCGCATTCTGCATATGTAGTAAATGTGGAGTAAATGACCATGAGTTATGATAGTGAACTTGGACCAGAACGACTGAATATTGTTACACTGTTTATGTCACTCAAACTTCATCATCACTTAATACTTTCTGGAAACCCTTAAGCAGAGATGGACTGTAAGAGCAACAATTATCAAAATATCTAAATAAGACTTATTCAGTGTTAATACTGTTTGGGGTTATAGTAGCAAGGGCAGGATCATTCTTATTTAGAGTTGTTAGTTTTGGATTCTTATTAAAATACTCAGCATGCCTGCAGAAATTGTATATTATATATAACATATGTTTCCTTTATGTAGACTGGTGCCATGGAACCAGCTGTAGAAAAGACATCATTTTGATCATATTCTTAATGTTGTGAACGCTACACATTTATACAGAGTTGTTGGTTAGAAATTATTGATCTCCTTGGTCAATCTGCAATTGTCCATTGTAGCTACTGAGGACATCAGATTTTTCCAGGTTTAGAAAATTAGTTATTAATTAAATAATTATTACTTCACATACTCACAATATTTATCTTATTTTTAGCATGAATATATGTGACATGATACGTTTGGGATAAGTAGGGCTAGTCACATGGTTTATTTATCATTTCTGACTTTAGAAATAAACTACCCAAGAAATCTATGTCAGTGGTGGAAAAGAGCATATTCTTGTAGATTATCTGGTAAATTATAACATAAGCAGTACTCGGAATGTTTCCTTATTTAATTTCCAATGGGTGTGTTTCAGGGTCCGCCTGGCCCACAGGGGCCTATTGGCTATCCTGGCCCCAGAGGAGTGAAGGTAAATGCTGTTTTTCCCCACATTACTTAATTTCAATGTAAAATATTATAGTCATTTACTTTTTCTAATTTATTCCACAGGGAGCAGACGGTGTCAGAGGTCTCAAGGGCTCTAAAGGTGAAAAGGTAAATTATAATTTACTTAGTGGTTTCAGTTACTATATCCATTACATCAAAAATGTAAATTCACTTAAGATAGTCTGTTGGCCAAATAGTATATTGTGATTTCTTATGTCCCAGAAATGCAAATATAATTTTATACTTTGTATTCTGAAAACTTAAAAAATATATATTCTTATAACCTGGAGTGAAGACCAAATTACAGAACAGAAACAAGATATTTTATAACAGAATGAATCCTGCATTCCTGTTTTCCTTACATGTATTTAACTTTTCTAAATCATAAGATTGGCCTTCAGAAAATATATTTTCTGCAGGGGTTGTTCAATATTTAATTATATGCATAACAGAGGAGTCTTTATTTCTTGACTAAAATCCCCCAAATTCATACATTGAAACTCAGTGCAAAAGATGAGAGTGAAAAGCACTGGGGGAAGAGAAAGACTCCCTGTGTGATAGTGTTTGCACAGCACAAGGATTAGCGAGAAGGAAATAAAGATTAGAACCAGGAGGAATACTACGCTGCTGTAAAAAAGAAGGAACTCTTACCATTTGCAGCAGCATGGATGGACCTGGAGAGCATTATGCTAAGTGAAATAAGCCAGTCAATGAAGGAAAAACACCACATGATCTCACTCATTTATGGATAATAAAGACCATCAGGGTAGGGGAGGCCAGGGGATTGTCAAGGGCAATGTTACAGACATATGTAATACTGTTTGTAATACTTTAAGCAATAAAAAAAATGAAATAAAAATAAAAAATATAAAAAAAATAAAACCAGGAGGAATGAAAGATTGGGTATTAAGGAGACAGAAATAAAGGTTAGAAAGAATTAAAGATGAAATATTAAAGAGAAGGAAATAAAGATTAAAACCAGGCAGAGGTGGAATAAAGAATGTGGAATCTTCTATTGAGCATTTATAGCTTAATTGTCTTTAGACGAAGAACTTAACATTGAAATTTTAAAAATATAAATGTTTAATATAAGTGTAGAGCTCCCCCCACCCTCCCGAGCTGGAAAGCATTTGTCTAAAGCTCGTGCTACAAAATGCATGATACGGAATTATTCAGTATAAATTAGAAATGGAGGGTAAAGACATTGTTTTTGATAATCCATAGTTTTTAAATGATAATTATATAAATATTTACTTTTTCTTCAAGTAGCACAGAATACATGTTGTCATAGAGAATGGTTATATCCTCCATAAGATAGAGAAAATTTAATGTACACATTTGTAAAATATTTCCAAAATTTAAAAATTATTTTATGTATTTTATTAACTTAGAAAATTATTTGATGATTTTATTAATTATGGGAAAATGGAAGGATACTGGGCGTAGGGTTAGAATAGGGAGGAGGAAGTTTTACAACTAGGATGCACATTTCTCAGAAGAATTTTCCCTAATTATCAGTATTTACATTGTACTTAGCCATATTTTATATTCAAACACCTGTTTTATTACTTGTATTTTAGGGTGAAGATGGTTTCCCAGGATTCAAAGGTGACATGGGTCTTAAAGGTGACAGAGTAAGTGAAAAGAAAATTTCCATTAGTACATACAATTACTGTCATGAGTGTTTGAGTGTGTGTGTGTGTGTGTGTGTGTCTGTGCATACTTGTTTATTTAAATATTGGAAGTGCCAGCACAGGATAATTAAAAATGTTTGTGTTACACAAGATATTACTCACTTGGTTTTTATATAAAAGTTAGGTGTTTTAATCTCTGTGAAGATAATATAATCAATTGTCTTTTAGGTGTTCTATTAAATTTCCATATTTATAGAAATTTTAAAAAATCGATGATAAAATTGCTTGAAAGAAGTAACATCATGGATTTATTCTCAATTTAGTTGTATGTAGTGAGCTATGCTGCCTGGAACCTATATACCTGCAACTTGTATGAATTTGTATTATATGGTGGTTTTGAATTTTTGACTAAAAAAACCCTTTTTTCTGGTAATGAGTGTCTAGAAAACAAACAAAAATGTGAGTCGCCTGAAGTATATTAACATTTTATTGGGAAGATTTATTTAATAACTAACATAATAGTACCTAATCAATTTGAAAAAGCAGCAAACTGTAGAACATTTGGTTCCCTAAAGTTCATATAAAGCCTGTTCCCAGGATGGTGGCTACACCTTTCATATCCTAGTACCTAGTGCTGGTGAAAACCACGTCTAAAATGGAGAACTTTCTAAAATATTCCACACAGTGATTTCCAAAGTTGCTATTGTCAGAGAGGAACAAGTATTTTTTCCTACTATTCTGGTAGGTTCTCTGGCTGGAGCCCTTTAAAATCAGACTGACAGTAGAGGGATTAACAAGAGAAAATTAGAAGTTTGCTAGCTGGTGCATCATGTTTACACCTGGGAGCACTCAGTGATGACTAGTAGTAGCTCAAAGGGGTGGTTAGAACTTTGGCTTAGATAGCATTTAGAAGAGGAACAATACATTTTTAGAGAAGTGAGGAGACACAGGAAGAGGACTTTGAGTTCCTGGGGCTGCAGATAGTTGGGAGGCACATAAAAGGGACACTAATGGCTCTTTAGTAAACTGTGTTGTAGAAACCCCTCCTGTCTGCTCTGGCTCCAGGTGATAAAGGACTCATTGTCTCCAATGATTAGCTCCTGTCCTTTCTGGTTATAAGGGGAGGAAGGATGCCTTTGCAAATTTAAGTCTTTATTTTAGGCAATTAAGGAGCAGGCAGAGAATTTTTAAAAAAATGAAACTTATTAGGGGGAAACCGGTTAGAAAATCATATGGTTTCAAGTGTACAGTTGTATAGCATACCATCTTTTATTGCACATATCAGCTCAGTTGCCTTTAGGACAAAATAATTGTTATGACAAAGTGGTATAATGGGGCTGGCATCTCCTGCCACCCTATTATTATCTAATCTTGATTCTTATTTTTCTCTCTCTTTCGTTCTGCAACACAGATGCATTAAAATTAATTTAATATGATACATAGTAGCACGGACTTCTGTAGGTTGTCCAGTGTCAAACTATATCAGTTGTTTGTTAATTAACGTCAAACACGTTCAAGCCTCGTTGTCATAGATAAAATATGAGCAAACAGGCCAGGAGGTGAAGAACATGGCGTTCTGATAGGCGATAATCTCTGCCATTCGATCTCCAATCTATTTTCAGTTTCAAAAATGCTGTTACTCTGCATTTCAGGGAGAAGTTGGTCAATTAGGTCCAAGAGGAGAAGATGGCCCTGAAGGCCCCAAAGGCCGAGCAGGACCCACTGGGGACCCCGGTCCTTCCGGTCAAGCAGGAGAGAAGGTCAGTGAGCAACTCTCCGTCCACAGATGCCCTTGAAGAAAATGCTCCCTGTCACTGACAAGTGCTTTTGATGACCTGTCGGGAATCTAGAGGATCCTGTTAATTTCAAGCACATCCATACATAGTTGTGGGCCGCTTAGCGACAGGAACGCGTTGCTAGGTGATTTCATTCTCTGCAAACATCACCGAGTGCCCTCCGGGCTTGTCTGCCTATTGTCCATCTGTGCAGGGCTGACCTGCAGTCAGACCACTCTTTAGTTCAGTCTATAAAGGAAAGGTCAGAGCTATAATCCTAATTTTTTACCTGGATTCATCTAGTAAAATACCCCATTCATTAAGTACTGCTCGTCTTTTAACGTAGGACATAGTAACTTAGACTTGTTTTTATTTTGTCTAAATGTACATATGAAAGATTGATACTATGTGAGTCTAATGTTTAAGACTTTGGCACATATTTTATAAAGTGCCCTTTCATATGATCTTAAGAAAAATGAATCACAGTAAAATTCCACAGACACCTTTTATTCATCTATTTAATTTAGTTTCCTCTCCATCTCTGATTTTTAAGTTAATGGTTTTCCAGGGAGGCCACTTTTTGTTAGTATAGCATTTTCATTCTCCAAGTATTTGTAACACCACTGTTAATTATCTGTTGGTTTTAGCACTTTTTACATGGAGATGTAACCTCATTGCATGAGAACAACATAGTTGCCTATACAAGCGACCACCTGCAGGCGTTAACTAACACTCCACAGAAATCATTACTTAGCTATAACTTGCAACCTAAGTATATTTATTGATGTAGATACTTGAGAGAAAAAAAGAAGAAACTGCTCAAAATTGGGGCAGAATTTCTTACTATAGTTATTTAACTTTACTTATTCAGTGAGAAAAGGGTAAAGAACTTGTGAATGCTGGCTTTATATTTACTGTGAGAACTGAACTACTTTTATCAAAAGGATGAACTTTCTAATGGACATCACCTAACTTCCAGTGACATGGAATGCTGAGGAGCTCGGGTGTTTACTCCGGATCACAGCTCACCGAGGCTCCCACCCTCACATACCCGGGCTCTGTGCCCCAGGGAGGGCCTGTCACTCAGGCAGCACGGCGGGAGGGCGTGACCGTGGGCACATTGGAAACATGTCTGAAGCATCCTTTTTCCTCTTCAGATGAAGACAGAGAGTGGAAGTGTGGCAGAAACTTGCAGATCTTTCTTTCTAGTGACAAATATGTCTAGAAAAATGACTGAAATGATCATTTAAGCTTAATTCAACCGAGAATTTTTTTTAACTTTAGGGGAAACTTGGTGTTCCAGGATTGCCCGGGTACCCAGGAAGACAGGGTCCAAAGGTAAAGTAATCAGCTTGGTTTTTAGAGTTTATTTTCTAACATTTTGTAGAAACAGTTAATATTGTTTACCTTGATTTTGGGGGGGGAGGGGGCATATAATATGACAGTATCTTGAAATTTCACTTCCACTCATTCAAAATTATTAATTATTAGGCCTGTTAGATCTTGTAATTTAATGTGTGTTATCAAAGATGCACATAGATTACCATATCATAATCTAAAAAAAAGTTTTGGTAACCGTATTTCAGCGCAGTTGTTTCCCTTTGTAAGCCTATCTACTTTAATGCATTTATTACTATTTTAAGGTTTTCTGTGTTGTCGGAAGTTTTACAG